CCCCAAAACCCCAAAACCCCAAAACCCCAAAACCCCAAAACCCCTTGTGTGCATATCCAAATTGAATTAGTGATGCACATATTGCTTCAAGAAAAACCTGGTGAGAATTAGGATATTTGGACTAAGGATCAAAACGATTTTATTTGGCAAATTATGGCCATAAGATTTACTTAGCATTAACACCGAAAAGTCCTTTGAAGAATTCAGCGAAGAGCAAGGTGAACATGGCATGAGGAGCGACTCTGACGTAGTAGGTTGGAAGCCCAGTCCATAGTCCTGTCACTCCTTCTCTAGCGATAGTCTTTTGGAAGCAATCAATAAGTCCGTTGTAGGGATATTGTCCCTTAGCATTCTTGGACTGCTTCTGGAGTTTGGTCTTCATGTTATCGAATGGAAGAGAGACTCCGGCAACGAAGAAACCTGCTAGATATGAGGCAGCGATATTAGTTTTGGTTCCTTGGCCGTATCTCTCACCTAATGCCTGCTTGAAAATATCGAAAGTAAAGAGCATCGATAGATTTAAAGATGCTGCTCTTGCAACAGTTGGAGCACATCCTCTATAAAGATTGAGGAATCCTTCTTCCTTCAAAATTGTTTTGAAGGCATGTATGACATTTCTATAGTTCCTTCTTTCGGCTTCAGGGAGAGTCTGATCTGCTTGCATTCTTACTAAAGCAAGATCACATGGATTGGCAATACCAGATCCAATGGCCCCTGCAAGCAAGGAGTTGATTGCTCTAGAAGATGCAGATACGTTTCCATTTTCATCTGCAGATCTCTCATTGAGTGTGTAGTAGATACCAATTCTCAAAGAGCAATAGACTGCTTGTCTTAGAAGTGCTGAGTCTAATCCTTGGTAGAATCCTTTCATTCCACCTTGATGGTATATTTCTTTGGCGACATCGAATGGAGAAGTCTTTCCTTTAGATTCTCCTCTTAGCTGGATTCTTACTTTAATCATATCGATCGGTTGAATAATGGTGGTGGCTCCCATTCCAGAGAGACCTCCAACCAAAAAGTTAAGTAAAAGGGAAGGCATGATGGTTACTTTAATTACAATATTAATCGTCACTTCCGGGGTTTTGGGGTTTTGGGGTTTTGGGGTTTTGGGGTTTTGGGGTTTTGGGG